ACAAAGGAAATGCTTAAGAAGTTTGGCATGGAGACTTGTAAGCCAATAGCTACTCCTATGAGCACTTCAATTAATCTAGACAAGGATGAAGGAGGTAAGCCTATTGATCCCAAACTTTATAGAAGCATGATTGGTTCCTTGCTCTATTTAACCGCAAGTAGACCGGATATAATGTTTAGTGTTTGTTTGTGTGCTAGATTTGAAGCTTGTCCTAAGGAGTCACACTTAATTGCGGTTAAAATAGTCTTTAAGGTACCTAAAGGATACTCCCAACCTTGGTTTATGGTATCCTAAGGGTTCTTCCTTAGACTTACATTCATATTCGGATGCGGACTATGCGGGTTGTAGGATTGATAGAAAAAGTACAAGTGGAACTTGTCAATTTTTTGGTAATATGCTCATATCATGGTTTTCCAAAAAGCAAAATAGTGTTGCTCTGTCTACAACCGAGGCCGAATACATAGCCGCCACAAGTTGTTGCACTCAAGTGTTGTGGATGAAACAACAAATTTTGGATTTTGGCATTACTATGGATCATATTCCTATTAAATGTGACAATACTAGCGCTATCAATCTCACTAAAAATCCCATCCGACATTCTCGCACCAAGCACATAGAAATTAGGCACCATTTTGTTAGGGATCATGTTGCTAATGGTGATGTTGATTTATTATTTGTTGACACTACAAATCAATTAGCTGATATTTTCACAAAGCCTTTTGATCGTGATAGGTTTTTCTTCATTAGAAATGAGCTTGGTATGTTAGATCCTAGTGCTTGATATGATTCTTGAAATTAATGAATTTGCTTATTAAAATTTATGCATATTGATTACTTTGATATGTGTACCTTGATTATATTCATGATATTTGATGATGCATACATTGATATATGACTAAAGTTGCATTATTTAGTAGTTGATGTCCAATTTAAACTTAGTTGAATGAAGAAATATCAAATTAAGATACATTGTCTTCAAAACAGCCCCAAACCTTCTGTTTGTCCCAATCAAGGCCAATAGAGCCGGCTCAACCATTCTCACAGCCGGCTCCACCCAAAAACCCGAGAGTCTTCTCTCTCTAAAGTTAAGCCGGCTCTAGGACTAGAGCCGGCTCTCCTGCAGCTTTTAAAATCATTCGGGCTTCTCTCTCTTCGAATCAGATCTGTCATTTTTCTCTCCCAAAACTCGCCATTCACTCTCCCAAACACCAAAATCCCTCCAAATCTCCAAAGCCCATCCCTTAAACACTCAAATACCGTTAAATCCTTGCCTACCCAACACAAAACCTCAAGCTTTTCACTTCAATTTGTGTCGGATCTGCTGTATTTTTGGTGTGGCTGTTGGGATTTCTCTCTCATGGCTTCAAGAAGGGCTAGAAGTAAAAGGAAACAAGTGGGTAGTTCTAGCACCGGTGGTCAAGCTCAAGAAGAAGGTAACATCTCCCAATCAAATCTCTTTTTGGATATCCAAGCTTCTACAAAGTATGAAATTATCAAGAATATGGCTGTTTTATCTTGCAATTTTGTAAAATTCAATCAATTTCTTCAAGGAGATATGCATGTTGAACAAATTTTTAGGGAACTTAGGTGGAAGGATTATGTAGAAATTAACGAGCCTGTGTACTATGAAGTTGTTCATCAATTTTATGCTAATTTGAAACCAAGAGGGAATAAATGCAAAACCATGGTTTTGGTGTACTATGAAGTTGTTCATCAATTTTATGCTAATCTGAAACCAAGAGGGAATAAATGCAAAACCATAGTTGACCCCTTTCTCTGAGCTATAATGCGAGATATAATCCACTGTAGTGCTCTATTTTCTGGTGTAAGGGATCCCACTTTAATTTGATTTTCAGTGCAATTGGGGGCAATTTTGGCTCTAACTAAGGCATGATTTACATCTTGAAACTCATCATCTCCTCCTTTAGGTATATCTAATACAGCACAAATATCCCTTGGTGAAAACTAAAATGACACCCCAGCAACTATGGTTTTGCATTTATTCCCTCTTGGTTTCAGATTAGCATAAAATTGATGAACAACTTCATAGTACACAGGCTTTTTAATTTCTACATAATCCTTCCACCCAAGTTCCCTAAAAATTTGTTCAACATGCATATCTCCTTGAGGAAATTGACTGAATTTTACACAATTGCAAGATAAAACAGCCATATTCTTGATAATTTCATACTTTGCAGAAGCTTGGGTATCCAAAAAGAGATTTGATTGGGAGATGTTGCCTTCTTCTTTAGCTTGACCATCGGTGTTAGAACTACCCACTTGTTAACCATTTTTTTCCTTCACCCCCCACCTAGTGCCACCTAACTTGATATTTCTTTAGTTTGGCTAATCTTTAGGATGGACATCTTAGGGTGATGCATTTTATGTTTTTATTTGACTATGGATATTTCTTGAACCTTTTTATCTTGTTTTATGAATGGAAATGGCATCACTTGTGTTATCATGCTTTGTGAATGGTTGTTTATGATATTGATGATTATATGCTCTTATTGAGGGGGAGTTTATTGGTTGATGACAGTATTCATGACTTTGGTTGTCTATGGTGCTATATTGATGATGATTGATGATTATATTCATTACATATTCTTAATGCCTTAAAGGTTGATAGCATGAATTAAGGGGGAGTTTATTGCTTATGTTTATATACTTTTCGATGAATGACAAAAAGGGGGAGAAATTATGCTGAATTTTCATAATTTTCTAGAATGTCTTAATGTCTTAATGTCATTTTCTTGGTGTTGAAATTTTGAGGTTAATATTGAAGTATATATGCTTTCATGATCAAAGTGTTTTGTCATCATCAAAAAGGGGGAGATTGTTGTATCTATGATTTTGATGATTATAAAATACATTTGAGTGACTAATTGATTTATTTAAGTGTGTAGTTAAATTGCCAATATACTGCAAAGTAAGCAAAATGAGATTGCATTAAAAAGGGCTCAAAGGGTAAAAATATGCAGAGAGCCGACTTAAGAAAATTGCAGTCGGCTCTGGGAAGCAAAAGTGCAGAGAGCTGGCTGCAGACTTTGTTGAGCCGGCTTTACGGGCCAGAAATTCAACTGTTGTTTTGGCGCGGGCAGAAAATGGAAGCAGAGCTGGCTCCAACTTTGTAGCCGGTTATGAGGGCGCATTTAATACACAACGGTCGACTTATTTGAAGAATATTTAATGTATTTAAAGTCGGAGTTCCAAAGTCCGCTCAAAGTTTTGCAACTGGCTCTCGAGAAAAACATAATGTGGTGCAATCCAGTAAAGCCGGCTGTAGAAATGGTGAGCCGGCTATACAGAGCCTGCTGTAGGGAATTAAGCCAGCTCTCCTGACAATCCTGCAACTCGAGTTTTGCGTCCTGCAGAGCATTTAATGACCCCCAATGACTAGAAACAGTTATTTTCGAGTAAGGGGCTATAAATATGGTTGGTAACATATCTAAAGAGGGTTGGAGAACATTGCATTGAATATCTTTACTTACCTACTTGAGCTTTAACTTGAGTTTTTGATCTTTGAGTGATCATTGCTTGTAATCCTCTTCTTGTTCTATTAGCGTATGTTCTTGGGGGTGTGATTATTCCTTCAAGAGTGATCTATTGAGAGGATTTGTGGGGTTTACATTGTAAAGGGGTGAGGTTTGAGAGGAATACTCATCTTCTTGTAAAAGGATTGAGTGGCTCCTTTAAGCCACCCTTGTCTTTCTTAGTGAAGAGTGTGGAGGAAATCCTTGGTGAGTGAAGCCAAGGTAGAGGATTAGGCTCCAAGTGGTTGGACCGAACCTCTATAAATTCATTGTGCAAGCTCTTCTTCTCTACTCTCTTTAACTTTGTTCTTGTGGTTGAAAAAGGGGAGAATTTTTGGAACTCCAATTCACTCCCCTCTTGGAGTACATTGAGTCAACAGTGTATGTATCATTATTATATATATGAATAAGAATCTATTTATGCACAAGTTTTATATACCACATTTATTTAAAATTTCAACTATTTATTTATTTACTTTCAATAGTTGAAATTTATCACAATCACACCTTTTTTACATAAAAAAAGATAATTATCTTTAATGAATGTGAATAAATCTTAACTATTGAAAATATAGAGATGAATGGTTGAGATTTTGTATAAATGTAACGTATAAATTTATATATAAATGAATTCTTTATATATATAAATATATATATATATAAGGTTACTGCTTATTTGTTTTACCTTCTAAAAATTAGAAGTAAAATTATTTCAAAATTACATTGTTTCAATAAAGCATTTATGAAAAAACAAAAAGCACTCTAATTTATATTTTGGAAATAAAATATTTTAGTTTTTTCAATTAGAGCTTATTGAAATGACATAGGTTTAATTTGACAACACTTTTTGATACTATTCTATAACTATAACTATAACTATTAGAAATGCTGTGTTATATTGTCATAAAAAGCATTTTAGTGTTTATAGTTATATTTCAAAAAAATTATTTATTGTAAAATTACTCAATTAGATACATTATTATTTAAAATTAAATTAATTAATAATTTAATATATAATGTACAAAAAAAGATTTGAGAATTTTATTAAATTATTTAGGAATTTTATTAATTTTAGATAAGATGATTTTTGTATTCCTTTTCAAAAAAGTATGGATGAATAATTTATTAAATGCATAAGTTACAAAAAAATGTTGTAGATATATGCAAAAAGGATTGTAAGCAACATTGTTAAATTAAGTTAATTTTAAGATAACTTTTCTCTTTATTGTTAAGAAATAAGACAGATAAATATTATTCTCTATATTTATTTCAGTGTCATTTTTTATTTATTGTTTGAAATGAAGGGGTTTAAACAATGAGATTTTTTCAACACCTCAATTTGTTGTTTAATACTCAACAAACTCTATTGCAAATGTCACAGTTGAGTTGTATCTTTAATGGTAACATCGCTTCTATATATCTTGCTGTTTTTCTGTTGGATTGAGCACCCAATCTCAAACAAAATCGTTTCACAAGCCATCAAACACTAGCAAATTAAATAAGATAGGCGACATATGCATTTTGTATTGCTAAGCGTTATATTTTTTATGATTTTCCCTTATTGTTCGTTTGGAGGTGGTTATTTCTTAGTGTTTGAAAACCGAAATTGCTTTATATTTGCGCTTTGATGATGTCCATAGATCAAAAGTTTGTTTGAAATAAGTTATCAAAAAAAGAAAACGAAGAAGAAGAGAGAACATAAGTCAATATATAAACATGTTCGTTAACTACCTAAGTCGATCAGTGGTCATCTTCTTTCGTTGGAAGTAAAAGATTCTGAGTTTGAATCGCATAGCATGCGGATGGAGTAGGATAAAGAATGAGAGATAGTTATTTTTCATTATGCAATCAAGATAATATATATATATATATATATATATAAACATGTTCAAGAAATTAAAATTTACTTATTTTTCTCTTATAACTGGTGAAG